GCTACTAGTAGCGATGCCCTTTGTTCCTAGTAGCTTCTTGTTCCTAGCAGGAATGCCAGGAGCTACTAGTAGTGCACTGCTACTAGTAGCGATGCCCTTTGTTCCTAGTAGCTTCCTGTTACTAAGTGTTAGAATTTGAATGCAAACATCCAAAGCGGCGCCAGATCTCGGGTACCAGCGGTGGTTCCTGTGCTTACCTGGAGGCCTGCAGATGGGACGACTGCCCAGCAGAGTGGTAGGATTTCGTTGGATGTCGGAATGGGCAGGGCACGCGTCTTTGTTTGAAGTTCATATGTCATTTGGTTTTGGCTTTGGTGGTTCACAGACAGTCTCCCGAACCCTTCGATGCATCGTTTGTCTCAATAGAGCGAAACCACCAATAAAACTAATTCTTGTTTCTACTAGCTTCTTGTTACTAGTAGTAAGGCCCTTGTTCCTAGTAGCGATGCCCTTTGCTCCTAGTAGCGTCCTTGCTCCTACCCCCCCGGTCTAAAGGAACAAGAAAGACATTAAAAAACAACTCTGCTATGTCTTTGCACCATGGGAGCAGATTGCCGGTGCAAATGATGATGTATTCACAAGGTAGAATTTGCATCTCTGAGTCTCTCGTCCCAAAAACAAAACAAAGAAGGAAAGGAAAGAAGGGTCTGAGGTCTAAAGCAAAAACGAGCATTAACTGCAATCAGATTAGAACTAAAATGTTGCCTTTGGATGACTTTAGAATACCCACGGTATCATGCAAGGCAACCGCAGGTCTCCAAATTATTGATATGATTGTTGGTTTATTGGCCTAGTTCTCTTGCATTCATACTGTCACACAACCAGGTACTGGAGCTTCCGAACTTGCCAAGAAGCTCGAATCAATACTTGCTTTCTGTGTCATGGCCACCAGCTGCACGCCAGTCTTGTTCTGTCCGCCCTGCGGGTGTTTTGCGTGCCAGGTGGATTGGTGTGAGGACTCATGGATTACATTCCAGATGATTCTCAGATCAGATGGATTTCGGGCCAGGGAGCTTTTGAGTGACTGAGTTCAGTTTGCTCCTTCTTGAAACCCCTTCATTGTTTGGCATTGGCTGTATTGACATACAACACAAGCCGGAGAATATCCTGCTCCTTTTCCATTGCATCGCGTTCAAGTCGGTTGCTTGCATAAAGATGCATTATTCAGAGTTCATTCAAAGCAAATCGAGTTCATGGATGATTCGATTCTGAATACCAAACTTCTTGAGTTGCTTATGCCTTATGCCTTGCCGGTTTTGTTGGACTTATGAGGCCGATCTGATCCAGCAATACAGGTTTGATCGAATTGGAGGAACGGTTGATCCCAAAGCAGGGGCTCCTGGCATCGCTACTAGGAGCAAGGACGCTAACAAAGGGCATCGCTACTAGGAACAAGTGCCTTACTAGTAGTAACAAGGACGCTACTAGGGGCTCCTGGCATCGCTACTAGGAACAAGAAGCAACCCGCATACCTCTGGAAGACTCACCGCTGTGGCCCAACAGAAGGCTTCTCAGGAGTATGTCCGGGCTTGTAGGGTCAGGAACCGCAAGTTGCTGGGCCGGCCGCCTAGTGTTATTTGGCCCAGGATCACGGCCTTCGCCTACATTCTCCTGCATGTGATCAGCTTCTTCATAGCCTCTTGGTCAAGTCAAAGCAGACTTCTTGAATGAGAGTGCAAGCGAGAATGAAGAATTGCTTGACCTTATTGTTTGGGCAACAGCCACCGGGATCATCTAGCCTCAGATCAGCCTTAGACCATGCATGATTGAGGAGAACAGAACAAAACCCACCAAGTGGATCACAGGTCTGCCTTGACACAAAGCCACAATGATTTTTTGTTGGATGTGCTTTGCAACTAGCGTCATGTGTGATGTCTTGTGTTCTATGTAGTGTCCTTTGCTTTTATCTTTGTCTTTATGCCAAGACAACTAATTAAGCATGTTCGTTTAACCATGGAGATGACATATCTCCTGGGATATATGTATGCATCCACCCCAGGAGATTCTCGGGCAAGAACGAGATCTTAAGCTCCCAGCTCAAAGCGGGTGCTCCGTTCGCCCACCGAGTCCACTCCACCCTTTGGACGTTTGTATCGCTCTTCCCTTCTACTAGGAGCAATAGAAGCTATTAGTAACAGGTGCATCACTACTAGGAACAAGAGGACGCTACTAGTAGCTCCTTCTTCCTCAGGTGGCCGTTCGAGCCATGGAGGAGCCCTTCGCACACTCCTTCCGCGAGAGCAGCGAGGCCGAGGCCAGCGCCGTGGGCTCGGTGTGCCAATGGGACCTGCCGGAGACCGGAGCTCGGACCTTTCAAGTGTTTTGCTTTCGAATTCTCTGAGGTCATTCCAAGAGGGTTCAACATCTGAGGATAGCATCATGTTCTCCATGTTTTTTTTGCTTGTGGAGTTTCTCCTGTTTCGATCTTGTGATCTTGGATACGCATTTGATGAGTTGCAAGTACCTAAAGCCAAGCTAGCCTTGTTTTTTGGACACCCTGAAATTGGAGGTGAACCTGTAATGCAGTGATAGGCATCCCTCAGAATGCATAATAATGCAAGCTTATGCAAAGCTGTTATAGTAACTTCTTACTAGGTTGGAGGCCATTGCTATTCAGTTGGAGGCCATCGCTACTAGTAGCAAGAAGCTACTAGTAGCTAAGGGCGTCGCTACAAAAAGAAAACTTATCCAAAGTGGATTTTACCTAGTAGCCGTCCATGCTCCTAGTAGCGATGCCAGGAGCCCCTAGTAGC